GGACACTGTACAGGCGATTTCTGTCATATATTAGTGCTCTTGCTATATACATATATATAGTACAGCCTGTGGGAAGCCTCCACAGGGTCAAGGAAACTTGCACCCCACGCAGGGCACCCAAAAATGAAGCTGTTGCCCTGAGGCTGCCAAGTTGCGTGGGCTCATTCAGAGCTTGGCACTGAGCCTTCCTGGGCACTACCAGGGGTGATGCCACCCAGTGCAGAGCTGGGCAAGCCCTTGCTGTGCTCACCTTGCAAACCTTTTGCAGGGGGTTGCAGGGCAGAGACCCCTGCATAGGTGCTCCAGAGGGAGCCAGAGCAGCCTGTTTCTGCCTTCTGGCTCCTCCTGCCTTCGGTGCCAGCCGCAGCTCCCGGCCACCATGTCATCGTACTGCTTGAGGACCACGTTCTCATCATCGTCGAAGTAGAGCAGGTTGATGGAATAGAGTTTGTCGGGCACGCAGCAGGGGCTGCTGACGCCCTCACTCAGCTTGAGGGCGTTGATGATGGACTGCACGGTGGCGTGGTTTGTTGGCCGCATGTTCTCACCCAGTGGGAAGGGGCAGGAGCCCTTGCAGTGGTAGGCGTTGTACCCTCGCGGTGAGATGATCCAGCCAGACCAGCCAATCTCCTCGAAGTCCACAGATAAGGGATGCCTCTGGCACGGCTGGAGCCGGTCTAGCGAGCGTGTGCTGCGTGGCCCAGCCAATCTGGGCACTGGCATCCTGGCAGGCAGAATGGGAGCCTGAGGCTGTACATCTGCCAGAAATGAGAACCCAATGCCCTTAGCCATTGCATGAGCCTGGGAGGAGGGAGAAAGAATTGTAGGCCCCCTCCAGTTGCCCCTTCCTGCAGGTTTTGTCTGTGGCCATCTGGTGTAGCGAGACCTTTGGTCACAGCCTGTCACCAGCCCAGGCAGAGCCACAGGAGGTGACAGCCTCACAGCCCCATGGCCACACTCATCAGGGTGAGCAAAACCCAGACTTACACCTGCCCCCACGTGCAGACTAAGCCAGCAACAGAGACGGCCTCTCCCTCTGGCTGGAGAAGGAGCTTTGGACTTGAAGGGGCCCATGCCAATGCCCCACAGGTTAGGGGATGGTGGTACCAAGGGAGCTGTGCCGGGGCATGTGGGACCTACCTGGGAAGCCAGCCGTGGGCAGGGACGCTCCCCGGCGCCCGTCGTCTGTGAACAGGACCAACATAGGCTTCTTGCTCTCATGGTGGTCCCTCCCTGATGCAAACTGCAGTGGGGGAGGGTCAAGCGTGCTCCCGCTCAGGTCCTGGACTGTCACCAGCAAACCCTGGTTGCTGCTTTCATCTTCAGTCCAGTCATGAACCTGGGGAACCAAACCAGTGTCACCATGGCACCGCAGGCAGGACCCACCCCGCTGTCCCCACAGCAGATGCCAGGCCAGCAGACCCGCTGCACCGTCAGCAGTGCAGCAGCATGAACCGGGACCCCCCGCCACCACACTCCATCCCCCAGCCCTGGGCACTGTCCTGGCAGCTGTGGGAAGGGGCTGTGCCCAAGGAACAAGGCTGTGGCACAGGGAACATCGTGGCAGAAGCCAACACAAGTGTTACCTGCGGAGCAGTTGGACCTCTGTCAGGCAGGACAGAAAAGCCCCTCGGGGCTCCTCCCAGGGCTCTTACCCCCCTCCCAGAGGCTGTATCCCCCCCACGTTGCTGCAGAGAGTATGGACAGCAAATTGCATCAGAGCCCAGAAGGCTGCTGGGGGCAAAACAAGTTAAAAAAAGCTCCAGGATGCAAACCCCTGGGGTCCCCACTGTGCCACCCAAACGAGGGGAAAAGTGCTCACGGCCTGTGTGATGGCAAAGACCTCCCAGCCCGAGCCCTGCAGCGAAACGAGCCTGGCTGCCAGCAGCTTCTTCCCTCCGGGGGCGTCCGGCTCACTCTTCTCCAGCACTTGGTAGACGCTGACCTGGGGAAGGCAGCAAAGGATGGTCAGCACCAGTGGGTCCTGCCCGAGAGAAAAGACCCCAGACACAGGTACAGGGGGAAAAAAAGGTGGGAGATGGGATTTCTCAGCTTGGATTTGTCACAACCTGTGGGTGCTGCTGTGTGCACTAACCAGAGTGTTATTTAAGAAACCACCACGGTTAAATCATTGATATTCTCTGGGCAACACAGAGAGTTGAGTCATATGAATTGCATGGAGCCAGGCTGTGCTCCTGCTGCAGGTGAGTGACTGCAGTGGCATTCCCAGGCACAGGCTGGGGCACATCCCCATTCCCATCCCCATCCCATCCCTGTCCCCTCCTCACCTGGCAGAAGTGGTGCCTTTTGGGCCCGTCAGTGGCCCTCGGCCAGAGGCGGAAGAGATGCAGCTCTGCTGTCAGGATTTTCTCATTCTTGGCCACGCTGGAGATGATGAAGAAGAAACGCATCTTCTCGCTGTGAGCTGCAGGGAAGGACAGGTTGGGAAGTGGAGCCAAACCAGGGGCAGCCCCTCTACTGGCTACGCTTGGCCCTTTCCCACAGCCCCATCCCCAGCATTGCAGGGGGGCGACCCCTGTCCTTACTTTTATCTAAGAAGCTGCGGACCGTGTTGCCCTCCAGGATGCCGGGGTTCTTGGTGACACCATCCGCGTTGGCAACAGTGTTGAATAGATCCACCATGTACTGGGGCGGCTGCTTGAAGTGAGCGGGGGGGGGCGGTGGGTCTTCCATGCCAAAAACTTCCAAGAGCCTCTTCAGCGCCTCAGCCCGCTGGCTCGCCACACCAGCCGGACTCGGGCACGCCAGCTTGGCCAGGGCCAGCAGCAGCAGGACAATCCCCAGCATGGTGCTGCTATCCCTGCTCCAGCCTGACTCCTGCCTTCCCAGCGCTGCATTTATAACTCACTGGAAAGATGGAATGGAGTCAAATATGCACATGAGCCATCAGGAGGGTAAAGAGAGCTAATTGCCATGCTAACAAGGTGCGAAGCTGGGCTCCGGGGGCCCCCTGCACCAATTAGCCCCAGTACACAAGCGGCCGGGAGGACGGCTCACCCGGCGCT